ATGAAAGGCTGTGAAGAGAGACGCTGATTGGCCAGAGCCGTTAATTGGTGTTTTGGTGCCACACTTGTCAATCAGCTGCAGCCTTCAGAGATCCAGAGAGGCCCTCCTCCCAGAATTATTTATTTATTAACGTGTTGGCACAGCAGTAGATCCCACTGAAGAACAAGTGCACGGCATCACAGGACCATGCCACTTCTAATGTTTATGCATACCACACACACACACACTGAGAGGGGGTACGGAGGAGGGGGTGGGTCTTAATTAACATCTCCAATTGAAGCTGGACCCCTCTGCATAGCATCACTGTTTTTTGGCCGCTGCTGTCCACGAACAAGGCTCTCATTCAGGAGCCATCAGTAACATATGGACAACTTTCAGCGCGCCATGTCAACACATACAGTGTTGGTGATCATCAGTGTGGGAGCCGCGGTGCTGGAGCTGCATCCTGCAGGGTTATTCTCCTCTCTGAGCCATGAGCGTGGAGATCTAAAGTGGCTGGGGTGGGTGGGGGGTGGTCACTGTCTATGAAGTGCTGTGTACACCTCCTCGTGGCGTTATTGAAAGGCCTTTAACCTTAAGCTTTAACGCTATTATCCTTGGCTGCCACCGACTATCCAGACACAGGACGCTCCGAGCTCGTCGTTTCATTTAACCTGTTGATTTTGTCAGTAATCAGCAACGCTCCCATGTGGCGTGGCGTAAAATCCCTCTGTTGAAGCCTTTTGATTTGGACTCATCCCGACTTTCAGGGGTCCCCGGTGCTCCTTGTCTCCCTCCCTGTGTAAGGCCAATATACTTTCAGTCACTCATCACCATGACGTGGCGCACATTTTCCGATTACGCCAGCAAAGCGTGACTGAGAGGCATGTGAGGAGGAAAGTGACCCCCCCCCCCACCCTGTTCAGCAACATCAAGACGGTATTTTGCTTCAAAACATAATTTATCAGGAGATTCTCGAACTCGTATGAAACCAACAGAAACTCCTCCCCTCTGATCCCTGTTTTGTGGACGCGCATGGTTGTGGGGGCGGTGGGTAAGAAGTGTTTAACTGGAGGTCGATTGTTTAATTGAGGCGCTTTCCTGTTGTCCGCGCGCGCATACGCGCGTGTGACTGCGCGTGCGCGACCGCTAGCGCTCCGTGACGTTCCGCGGAACAACAAAGGGAGAGGTCTCGCGCCCCGCCGCCCATTCATCTCTTTCTCTGGTGAAGTAATTCCCATTGATTCCCATTGAGCGGCGAGTCGCGAGCCCCTCAGGGGGGGAAACTTGTGATTTGTGAAGGGTCGCGAGGACAAGACACGCCCCCCCTCCTCGAGCCCGGGCCATCTGCTCACCAAACACCACAACACCCGGAGCAGCCACCAAACGGATCCTATCATCACTGTCGCTCCACGCCGACCCAGTATTTCTCCTCCAACGTGCCCTGCTTGTTCCTCCCAACTGTCCCCATCTGCATGTCCTCCTCCTCCGCCTCTGTGTCCTCCGCCTGTCCTCCAGGAGAGGAAGCCAAACGCCTGCTCCCAGAGCGAGATCACAGTGGTGGCATGCCGGGGTATGAGATGGCCATATGGCCTGTGTGTGTATGGGTGCGTGCGTATGCCAAGAAATGGATGGATGGCCATCGTGGGAACCTCCACATCATCATCATCACACACAGACCCACACAGTTACACATGGCAYGACGGCCTTTGCTTTGGTCAGCTGTAGAAATCAAAGGTTAAAGGGACTTTGGATCAGTTCACTTCAGCACAATTAATAGTTCTTTTATTTTTTGCTTCTTACACTGATGGCGTTCTGATGATGTTATATCAGAGGCAGTTTAGTAACTGAAAAGATGCTGACATTAAAGACCTTGACAATTGTAGACTTCTTGTGCCAAATAAAGATGTCTACGCAGAAGATGGAATTAAAAAAATACTGGAAACCTCTTTTGGACATACTGCATAATTAGATCAAATTATATGAGTAATTCCTTCACAACAAAATGTTCATGTGTACATAAATATTAGCAGGTCTTTAAATATAAATGTCAAACAGTAACATGCAAGAGATTTGTTAATAGTTTTTTTTTTGTTTATTTGTTATTTAAAGTGATCTTGATAAGTTTTCTGAAAGTCATTCTTTGGACATTGGCTGCTTTTTTGGCAGTGTTTTTGTCTGGTCCTTGTATTGGCCAACATATGGTGGAGTGCGTTCTTAAAAATGAAGAAAGCAGACAAATGGAGAAGTGTCCTAAACAATCAGCAGCAGCAGATGAACAAAATCTGAAAGTCACTATAAATCCAGCTCCTGATCTGACACAGGCCCTGTTATRGTGACCTGCAGGGTGAACCTCACCCTTTGCCCCCAGATTGTAGAAGACAGGCTGTGGTCCTAAATAGGACCAAATATGAATGGACACATGGACCTGAAAGATGAATATGAAAAGGTAGGAATTGAATAACCTTGATAAAATATTATTTATGTGAATCTGTGTCTTATAAGGTTTGTAGTTCTTTAAATAAATTGAAACAAATAGTTGTGATTGGCTGCTGATTGCATTTGAATTTTTCATAGACATTTTGTGTCCTTAAACAAACAACAACAAAAGATTCCTCTGAAAATGGTCAGATTAAACTGAGAGAAAAAAAATGAACAAAACTCAAAAGAACTGACATTTTGAGAGACTTCCAGGAAGCTTACAAAAACATCAATCCACTTTACAAGATTAGAGGAAAGGCTGTCTTCTTGAAGCAAAAATATAACAAGAGATGACTCAAGACTTCTGCACAGTCCTTTAGACAGACAGGTGCTGATTATAATGATAAAGGGGGAGTCGTGTGGCTTGATGGATAAGTCTCCCCCAGCAGCAGCAGTGGTCCTGTGATCAGGTTAGAAACTTGAGCTACAAAGAGGCGAGGAGGCCCTCCTCTTTATTCAGTATGTAGTGACTTTACACCTGTTCAGCCTCATTGTGTCACAGTAACTTAGACCTATGTGTACCGCATATTTGACTAAACCCTGGTCGTCCTGGTCTTGCCTGGGCTCGTAAAGGTTTAAAACATGAGACACAATCTTAAAGTTGTGTTGAGGGTATAATTCTGGACGTTCCTCGTGATGTTTATATTCATATTCTGTAAAAACATAGCTCCAGTCCATCCCAAAGTAGTCAAACCATCCCACTCAACACTGTTATAATGAGTTTTACTCACCAAAAAAGTGAATTAAATATAAAGAATTTAATAATGTAACCAGTTTTTCTGTTACATGTAGCTTTATAACTGAACTAATTGGTTGTTCCTTTTTGTTTGAGATATTATTTAATTTCTAAAATAACCACACCTGTCAAACTCAAGGCCCATGGGCCAAATCTGGTCCTCGTTAACATTTCATCAAGCACCAAAGGTATTATATTAAATGTGAAATAGTTTGATGGTTTATCTTTTTGTCACATTCTTCTCATGACATTCTTCAAGCCAAATACAATGGAGACTGATTTTTTTTCCACCTTGATTATGTTTTGCTGTATTCCTTTCTTGTTTTAAAGTCAAACTATTGGTAGAGTAAGGCGCAAATGATGAATTTTTCTAAATTTCTTGAAATGTTTCAAAACATTATTTGGAAAGGGTATTTCTATAAGAATAATTAGTTATTTCTTCAATAAATATTGGCAGAAATTAGCTCTCGGCTTGGACCAGTTTTGGAATTTTGGCCTTTTTGTGTAACTGAGTTTGACCCCCTCTAAACCATTCCCTGTTATTTAATAAATTTGGTGTAACACTGGTATCACAAAGAAAATAAATGAGCAGATGTAATTATTATATAAACCACATGATCAGAGTAAGTTACACAAGTATGAGAAAAACCTATTGATGACCTGATGAATCAAACTTGTGAACATTTAGTGTTTGTTATGAACGTATAACAAGCAAGATACCCCCCTCCCCGCCCAAACACCTCCCTTCCTGCATTACAAACAAATCACATACTGCCTGCTCACAGAGATCTCTGCCCCGAGGCCCTCCAGGAGTMCTTGGTCTTTAGTTTGAGAAGCTGTGGCCTCCAGCAGCTGGATTAGCCAGGCCAGCTGCCTACAAAAACCCTGGGTCCAGGACGCTGACACCGGGCCTGACCCCAGGGTGGCCATCAGGAAACCTGAGGGGATCTGGACAGCTCATGGTGTGTGTGTGTGTGTGTGTGTGTGTGTGTGTGTGTG